GTGTGTGTGTGTGTGTGTGTGTGTGTGTGTGTGTGTGTGTGTGTGTGTGTGTGTGTGTGTGTGTGTGTGTGTGTGTGTGTGTGTGTGTGTGTGAAGGGGTAAGTGTTGGCATTTACATGATCTGAAAGCAATGGATATGTGTGTTTAGTTAACACTACGTGTGTGTGCCGGTATTTCTCAGCTTTATCTAAGGTGAGTGCATGAGCAGCTGCATTGTGCTTCAGTTAAAACCAGGAAGTTGCATCCTATTCAAGCAGCCAGCCAATAGCAGTGTGTGTGTGGAGGGACGGCGTCAGATCCGTGTTATCAGGGCGGAGTGCAGCTGCTCAGTGTGAGTGTGAATAGGAGCGGCCTTTCACCCTGCCCTCTAGTTCAAATATTGATCCTAGTGCTGGGACAACAGTGACTGGGAGACGCAGTGAAAGCCAACACAGACGGAGCGGGGGGTTAGGACACCTCAGCACTAACTGCTCCCACATCCTGGTTACAGCTTACACCACAACACTGTTATTTATTCAGGGCTCCGGGACATTGGGTTTGTCAAACAATGCAATGACAGAACTAAACTGAAATAAAATTGTTATCAAATATGATAAAACAATAAGACATGGAATATCTAGACCAGGGCCACATACAGAAAAATATACGAAGGGCTGGGCCGCTCACTAGAGGTGAGATATACTGCCTTATTAGTGAAGTTATAAGTTAGCAAAATCAATCAAATGTAGGTAAATGATGCTTGATACTTGAAAATGCTTTAAGAAACACAACAGCCTACATCACAGCTCTTCATAGGGTTTCATTTATTTTGTTAGCAGCTCATTCCTTAAAACAGAAGCCTCAGATTGCTGATAAGAAGAGGGAATATAAACGGTAAAATTCAAGCTTGTTATGTAATTAAGTTATTGGGCTCTTTTTATCAACTAAGATTTGTTTGAAAATGTTTCCAACTTTAATTGCCTCAATTTATTTGAAAAGTGGGCTTATTAACACATGAATACTGCGTAATATATTTTAACATATATATTTCAGAAGTAGGATATATGACAAGCACAAGTTTCATTTGTGTGCCATATTTCATTTTACTTTTTGAATTAGCTGGGGGCTGTTTCAAAATGGGCCACGGGCCGTGTTTTGCCCCTGGGCCGTAGTTTGGACACCCCTGATCTAGGCAATGACATAACACCATACATTGTACAAAAGCAGGACACAAAGCAAATGTACAGTCGGCAGCATTTACATTTGACTGAATGGTGTATCCATAAGCAATATTTCCTTATAGATTCATGAATATTGTTTCAGCCATATCTCGCAGTCAGTGGATGTAGTTTGAACATTTGTCATGCAGATGGTTCAGCTTGTCAACATGTTACCTAATTAGAGAACTTCAGTCATATGATAGGTGATTCTATATGGGGGGAGATGGTAACTTTACTTGGAAAATGTACCAATCGAACAAATAAAATATAAGTACGCTTCAAAACTTGACTATTGGAAAATCATCAGCAGTGCATCGCCTGTACTCAAGAGGAAGAACCGTCATTGTCATTGATATGTTTTTATATGTTAAAACATTTTAATGATGTCAGCAGCATTTTAATGTTTTACCTGGTAAGGGAAAACTGTTATACTGTATACTCTTGGGTACGGTAACAAGTCGTGTCTGTATGGTTGTTTCCGCAAAATAGCAGGCCTGTCCCTGCTATTATGTTACAGCTGATAGACTGGTGTAAGTGATGACGTATTTTTGTAGGACGACCCGGAAGTTAGCATGGCGAGACTTCCTCAACATAAAGCAATTGGATTTTTCCATTGTATTTCGGTATATTGCAGAAAATAAGCTCTGTGTCGAACACACGTTATGGTACATTACATGTTTGTTCAGTAGGATAATCTCCACAAAAATAACACAACTTTTAGATCAATCATCATATATAAAAAGCTAAACTAACTAACTCGAGGTCGCACGGCTGCACATCACCCCCGCTAAGCGAAAGGCGGATTTGTGGTGCTGTGATGATGTTTAGTAGTTTAGTTTAGCAACTGGCTTTTTTAAGCAGAGAAGCTTCAGACATTCACCAGTGGGGTATTTATTGATGTATTTACTGTCCTAGACAAAAAGAGAAAATCTTGTAAGCTTATGGTAACCACAGATCTTATTATGCTTCTAACCAAAAACATGTTCCAAAAACCATTGACTTCAAGAAAAGGGAACCGAAAGTGGTAAAATGCCTAGTCTTTTCTGGTTTAAGGAATCATTCCTGCACCACTCTATAGAATTGTTAATGAAAACCATCAATCCATCCATACATTCATCCATACATACATTTACATTATAGTTGTATATTTTATTATAGCTTATTACAGGGCTTAGTTGAATACTCGATTCTGATTGGTCAATCTGGACATTTCAGAGGTTGTTAATACTCCATAACACACCACTGCTAAGCAATATAATGACGGTTTCTAAGGAAGATCAACGGAGAGAAGGAAAGAGGTAAAAAGACAGAGCGTTGGACTTCAGAGAAATCAACAGAAGAACAGACAGGAAGTAAACACTAAAGGGAACAACAGAAGAAGACAGACAGGAAGTAAACACTAACAGGAACACGGCATTGGCCCTGGCAGTGTTTAAAGACTGGTTCATGGAATAGAAAATGTGAACAGATTTGGACAGTTACAGAAAACCTCGTTCAGTGTTGCCGTCATTTTAAATCACGTTGCTGTCGCCGCAGTTCAAGCCGGTGGAACAGAGTATTTTTCTTAGCGGATTAAATATGATCATTTTTAAGTCAATAAAATCATTTATAGACTTTTATACTAACTTGAAGCACATCCCTTACATAACCTCTTGGCCAAATGGCAACACATTTCTTTGAACAACAAAAACCCTTAAAGTAACTTCTTCTGTCTTTGTCTAGAGATGTTCTTTACCAAACTTTGTGCATATTTCTCAAAATTGATAAGATGAGTAACCAATTAAATAGATTTTGTGAAGTTTCTTGGGCCAACGATATTTGACAGTGCACGTCCCCGCTAATATGCTTGCTGAGTGTCAAGACAATCAGATGAACAAAGAGCAAAGAACCATTCTTGAGGTATGGGAAGAATATTCATACAATCAGACATATAATTAGTTGGATACTTAAACTATCAGCTCTGGCAAAACTCTTTTAATGAATTCAACTTTTTCACCAGCCAAAATGCTTAAAAATGCTTATTAATTGTTACACTCAATGAACGCATGTCAAAAAGTGTTGGTGAGCTTTACCAATATTACCAATATTAGTTCATCACTTTGTTATTTTTGTTGATGGTTGCCAAGGGTATGTAGTCCTTACCATTATTAATGATTAACAAAAATAAAGGTACGTTTCAAGCCTGCAGTTACGGTTTCATGTCATCTGTTTTTCTTTACTACCACCACAATGAACACACATATTAAACTCATTAACATCAATAACAGAGATAAATAAAGTTCATTTACCGTCATTATTATTGTTGATAAATCAATATTCAACATCCCATAAAATGTGCACTAGTAAATATGAATCAGTGCTTGAACCCTCCATTCAAGGGTTTTTCCTGATGGATTAATAAACAACTAAAAAGAAAAAGCAGGTGGATGATTTTCTCACAACTGGCAACCCTAGCGATTTTATATTAATGATTAATAAATAAAGGATTTAATAATAATTGTTAAAAGTCCAAAATAACATTATAAAAACAAAACAAAACATCTTAATTTCAACATAAACCCTTTTTACAGATGGCTTTACACAAGCAATACCATGTGTGAACACTTTAATCTTGAATATGTTAACAAGAACGCACACTTGATGTAACCAGAACAGGTCCATTAAAAAATAAGAAGCAGATTCTTAATTCAAAACACACAAATGAAAGCATGCGTAATCGGCATTAGATATAAATTTATCATCCTGATTCCACTTCCACTGTGAAGCACTGTCCCTTCGTTGTGATGCCCCAGTGAGCAGAGAGGTGATGAGCGTCAGCCGAGGAGAGGCTCCATGCTAACAGCAGCATGTGGAGCCCCCCCCCCCTGCTGCAGGATACAGGACACTGAGATAAAGCTCAGCCACAAAACACCTGACAAATTCCCTGAGAGCACAACTTTAGATGCTATAATCTTCTAATCGGCAAGTTTTCTAAACATGTCTTATATATTATGGTCCTTGTCTGGTTATTGTAATCATTAATCATATATGTTATGCAGGGGTTATGAAACTTGGATGTCAAACTTTTTCATCCTTATGACTGAACCACTGTGTTGACTTTGCATTCAGTTGCACCTTTGTGTCTGAGCCAATCCCATGCAGCCTAATCATCACTAATGTGCTGACTGGTCCATGGACCAAAGCCAAACATCCCTTCGCTCCAAAAGCTATCCCACAAAGATGAATTCAACTGATTATTAATTATCCAGCACAGTGTCCAAATTGCCTCAAAATGTATATAAAGATGTATAAACCCAGACTGAGCCGCTCATTCATGTTTGCAGAAAACAGACTATTTGTTTCTGACAATTCCATTTAGAAATCTGATAATTTAAGAGTGTGCTGCAGATGTGAAAACATACATTAATGGTAGAACAGACAAAATGCAGGTTATAACTTGCTATACTGTTCTGATACATTCAACAACTTCAGAAACATTTCAATCTTAGTTAAAAATGTGTTTATAACTTGCATTTGGAGGAAGACAGACAACATAAAATGCCTTAAAGCTAAAGCTTATATTATGTACAATATGCCCTCCCTGTAATTATGACATGCTGATTTCTTTATGTATTCTAACTTAAATATTTAATAGTGTGATCTTACACCAAGATGTAATGGCATGGAAACTTCAAATCACACATTTTCTCAATGGAGTTTGGTTGGCAAACAGAAATACAATTTCAATCAACGTAGTATTCCGGTTAGGGGATGGTAAGAGGGCGGGACCACAGGGGAGCAGGTGTTTAAATACCAGGCAGGTGAGAGTGGAGGAACAGCAGATCCTGGAGCTGCGGCTGGCACACACACACACAAACACACACACCTGAGCCGTCGGAAACAGGTAAGACCCCAGGCAAACTCACTCTGCATATTGTTTTCACTTTAAGTCATTTTAATGTGTGTATATATCCAAATCTGTGACTCTTACTCAAACCATTGGCTGTAATTACTTTGTGATAACTTTTAATAACTTTATTTGGATGAATAGGCAAAGTGCAGGTTGGCATACTGCATCAGTGAATGCAGATGGAAAATAGCTAATAGCAAATTCTGGCATAAATCATCTCTTCTCTTTTGATGTATTTTCATGCATGGTCCCAGGTCAATCAAAACTAGTTTTGGGACAACTTCCACGGTTAGAGTCTGATAGTCATACTTTTTTCGATGTTTCCTATCCGTTACATATTTCAAGAAAATCATCTTTTATAATAGTGATTTTTCTTTCTCACCACTTTTTATATCAAAGGGAAGGAAGATAACGTTTATGCCTTTCCTGACAAAATGTCACTTTATACTGTTTCTTAACACAGTTTGACCTTTTACTCTTTGCATTTTGTTCCAGTAAGTCTATTAAGATGATCAAAGCTTTGTTGTCAGCACTCTTGGTCCTGGTGGCCGTGTCCTCCGCCTTTGGGAAATACATCCCCAAAACTGGGAAGAGGATCCCTCAGACTCTCTCCAGAGGTGCGTAGCATCATCTGAGCAAGTGAGACTGAAAGAGAGTTTTATAAATGTTGAGTCGGTCACTTATCCATAATGTATCCATGTTGCCAGGTTGGGGTGATCAGCTGATCTGGGCGCAGACTTACGAAGAGGGTCTCTACTGGTCCAGGTCACGGTAAGAAAATAACAGTTATTAAAATGCTTTTCCTTTGACAGGGTTGATCTTTGAATCTGATGATTAATGGTATGACATGTTTCAGGAACAAGCCTCTGATGATCGTCTTTCACCTGGCGGACTGCCCACACAGCGCGGGTAAGTCTGACCCCGGATGTAGTTATTAATCTTATTAATCACAGAAAGAGAGCCCAACCTGTTTGAACAGCCAGCCGTCATGTGTTTGCTCAAGTGTGAAGTCACATCCTGGTTGTACTTCAGGGTTGTGGAGTTTTAACTGTAACATATTGTGTTTCTCCTGCAGCACTGAAGAAGGTCATCGCTGAAGACAACGACATCCAGAAAAGGCTGGATGAGGACTTCATCATCCTCAATCTCATGGTAGGTTACATCAGACATCACTGCTTTAAAGGCGCATTCCACTGAATGTGTATGCAAGTTTCCAAATCTTTTTCTAAAAACAATGTCAAACTCTGAGAACTTATAGGTTTTTATTCACTTTACTGTAAACTTGGTGTTTATCTAGTATATTTGATATGCATCACTAAACTAGCTACAATTAGCTTGAAACTTTAGTTTAGTTATTGTTTGTTCAATAATTATCCAAAGTGAACAACCAACCTTTCATCACTTTGAAATGTAAATGTGTCTACATTTGGATTGCTGCACATATATTAATGTGACATGAACTTTTTTAAACAGCCAGTGAGAATAACTCACCTCTGTTTGATGATGTGTTTCTTTTTCTCTCCGACAGTATGAAACCACAGACAAACATCTCTCTCCTGATGGACAGTATGTTCCCAGAATCCTGTTTGTCGGTAAGAGCTGTCTTCCTATTATCCCGTTAGCATGTTATCCCGTTAGCATGTTAAGGTTGTGGATGAGGTTACTCAGCTTTTTCTGGTATAACTAAATCATTAAAGTCTAGGCAGTAAGTCATTCGGTTCTGACACAAAGCTGCTTTTGACCAACTTTGTCAGTTTAGTTAACTGTAAGTAGGTTTTTAGTATGCTAATAATGTTTGATTTATTAAAGCTAAGATTGCTTTGTACAGTAATAGCATCCAGCAGCGAAATACATATTCCGATCCTTTACTCAAGAAAAGGTAGCAATGTATGACTTAAAGACTTAATTCAAATTAAAGTCCAATAATGTCTTTACAGACCCTTCAATGACGGTGAGGGCGGACATCAACGGACGCTACAGGAACCGCCTGTATGCCTACGAACCAGCTGACCTCACACTCCGTAAGTGCTAAGCTAACACACTGAGCTTCGTCTGTGTCCATGAATCAAAAATGTAATGTTTCCCGCCTCTCCCACAGTGAAGACCAACATGGATGCAGCTAAGAAGCTCCTGAAGTCTGAGCTGTGAGCCCGAGGAGTCACACGCGGTCCCTTCAGTTTACACGTGGAAAACTACGCACTGCAAAATTCCTTCTCTTCAACTTCACTTGTTTCCGCCTTAAATTCCCTTTCTGATCCTTCCCTTTATTAATATTATTGCTGTACATCCAGAATGTCTTTTAAATAAATATGGAACTGTTCATACGTACAATATGGGTCATGCTTTTTCATTTGCCAACACATTGCAGGGAATTATAACACTCAAGAGTAAATATGAATAATAAACTAAAGAATAATGCTAACTTAATGTGCTAATGCTGCTACTACTACTAGTTAACAGGATATAGATATATAATATAATATGAAATATAGTTATAGATATATAATTCATGCACTGTTGTGCTAATACATCAATGCAATGTAATACTACAGATACTTATGCAGCAACTAAAACACTACTACAGTAGTCAAAATCCTGGTTATGTTTATAACTTATTTGCCATATCATTGAATCCAGGCTATGATATAAGGGAAATATTCATTTAAAAGTCCCATCCTATATGGTGGTGCAGGGATAAGTCCTAAACTGGAAAATTAGTTTATTTCAGCACTTCCAAACTCCCTTGTTGCGAAATCAATGTTTTTTTAACGTGGTTCGGTTCGATGCCTGAGATTTTCACGTTTTGTTCTACAACATAAAAAACGACAGTAAACCCTAACTGATGAATTTCTGAAATGTATATGTGCCTGACACAGCGTTAGCTAACAAGTGGCTAAACTTGACACTTATAAACGTCATCACTTCAAACATTAGCCGCCTTTAGCTTAGCGGTGTTGTCGCCGGAGCTTATTTTCTGCAGTATTCCTAAATCAAATGAAAAAAATCCCATTGGCCTTGTCTTGGGATGCTAACTTCCAGATTGACCTACACCTAAAAAGTCATCACTGCACACTATGAAATATTTGTTAAGCCTCAAAGCTAGTTTGCAGTAAGTGGTGGAGAGTTTAAGGATCTATATTCCATCAGTTAGGCCTGCAGGGAACATTAGTGTCTCCAAGGTTACCTGAGGGCAGTGGACACCATATTTGACAGGAAGCAGTTTCCTGCTAAAGCATCCAGCAGATTCAGAGCATCCTTCATTTGGGGTCGAGTGGAGTGAGCTGCTGAACCCTCCACAATGTTTCCCAGTGAGTCTCTAACAGTGGGTGTTTAGACTATATACACCTGATTAATAAATCCATTGCTAATATACAGCTATAAACACATCGATTAGTACAGCTTTAAAGGCATCTTTAAATGTTCAGACTAAAAAAAAAACATAAGAAAAGTTCGATTTTTCATTGGCCCAGGAGTTCCCAAGCCCACCAATTTCTGCAGGACGTATTCAAGACATGGCTTGAGTAAAAGCAAAGCAATCTGGGAAGTATGCCAAATAATTAACAATACAGTTGTTGTTCATTTGTTAAACAGTATTATCAGTTTAGTGAACTCCAACAACAATCCACAGCTCATGGTTATCATTTTAACTTTGATATGACCAACATAGTATATATTTAAGTGAATTAAGCAGTGAAAATGCTTTGGCAAGGAATTTGTTCATAGCACATTGTGTTCAGTGTGTGTGTGTGTGTTCCACATCCTGGATGGGCGGGTTTACACTGTCAGCACTGAAGGCTTGTTCCTGTTGCTAGGTTACTGAGGCTCCACGCAGACTGTTATTCTGTGTCCTGAGCTGCTTAGAGCAGGAGAACGTGGCACGAGGTGGTTGGTCAGGACTTCAACTAAAATCCTCTGAACCTGAACCTAGGACAGAGATTCAGGAAAGGAAAACCAATGTCAAGTCAGCTTTTCTGTGTAGATATATCTGTAACATACTTATCCTTTCACGTTTTCACAGAGCTGATATTGTTTGAACGACAGTAAGTGAATGCATCACTATTCATGGCCCTACTCCTCATATTCAGTTTAAAGCCCCTTTATGACCGAGTTATTTGATTATGTTTCTGTGGTTTTGACTTCAAATGAACACTATATGTTAGATTTTGCTTGACATTCCACCCAAAAACTAGATGGCAATCCCAAAACTATGACGTGTAACAATTATTCAATCTAATGTAGCACTCAGTCTTCTTTTATGTATGTTAAGATACTGACTGTTAAGATACTGACTGTTAAGATACTGAATACTGACTTGGTATTTAAAACAATGAAAAATGAACTTATTGTGCTGAGCAACTTGTGCTTTGTATTTACAGAAAATCTGACCTTTAAGACTGAATAATACACAATAATGTTCCCTATTGTTTTGAATAGAAACAATTTTACAGAGTAGAAACAGAAGACAAGAAGCCAGAGAAATCAGTGTTTTATTCAGATTTACAGTAAAAAGGCTCAGACAGGTGCAGCTCTCATACAGGAGCTAATATCTGCAGAAGAATCATGCAGAAGGCCAAATGTGCCACCCACACACACACCCCCCCCCCCCCCACACACACACACACACACACACACACAGTCAAAATAATGTCATCATACCAATGTGAGGAGCAGCATTGCGTTCAGTGGGGCAGACAAACAATGAACACCAAAGGAGATGAACAGTGTTACATGAGGCAGGCTGCATAAATACTTTATAATACACAGCAGACTGCTGTACACAATAGTGTCAGTGAACTAACTGTAAATGTTTCTGATGCAGAGCTGTCACACTGGAGGCAACGTGTGTGCTGTTCCTTCACACACAAACACTTCAGAACACACTCCACTCCAAACATAATAACAGCATGTTGCAGCCCTCAGTGGAAACACAACGATCAGTGTTTTATTTACAAAGTCCATAAAAGGAGGGCAGAGGCGGAGGTGACGGAGCAGCCGGAGCTCACTCACAGGAAAGCACTGGGGTTAGCTCGAGGGTCTTTCTGGTTCCTGTAGTGGTACGTCAGCCACACTCCCAGAATCTGAAACAGGACGAAGAAACAGTGAGACTGAGAGCAAAACAATACCCTCTGTGAGTTAGAGAATAACACTCTGTTTTCTTTTGGTCATGAGGAGACCCACACCCACAGTGAATGTATCTGCTAAGTAAGCTTTTTACATGGATACACATTATATAAACCACCGACTCGACATTGATATAAATTAATTTTTTGGATTAGAGAAATTATCGTATTGCTTCTGTTAAGAAAACATTTTCCTTTCTGCAGCGTTTCCATTAACCAGTCTTCAAACACTGACAGAGCCTGTTAGTGTTTACTTCCTGTCTCTCTTCTTCTGCTGTACCCTTTAGTGTTTACTTCCTGTCTCTCTTCTTCTGCTGTACCCTTTAGTGTTTACTTCCTGTCTCTCTTCTTCTGCTGTACCCTTTAGTGTTTACTTCCTGTCTGTGGGTGCGTTTCACTTCGGTTAAATGGAATCCTTGCGTCCCTCACTTGCGTCGTTTCCCTTCGACTAGTCCCTCCCACCAGGGAAGCATGGAGAGACACAAGGAAACCACGAGAAGCAGGGAAATGAGTTTTAAGAGCAATGGGACGTCCTTTCCTCCGGAGCGTCACGTGAAGCGACGTCCGTTTGTGATGACGCCGCACAGCTGATCGTCTGACAGCAGCTCTGTCCCCGTTATTTTCACAAACACCCCCGCCTCTGTTAGTACACATTTACTGACACAAACATTTGTATCATCTGTTGTAGACCCAAATACATTAAATAAAATAAGAACTCATTCTCAAAAAAGATAAACGCCATTCTTAAAATGTATAAACGAAAAAAGTGATCATGAAAATGTTTCCAATAAATGAATAAAATGATTTTTGACCACTTTGTTGTTCAGATATATCACATATTTGTAACTGAATGATGCATTCATTGAAACAAAACACTGTATGAACTGAGGATTGACTCCCGTGAGTTTCATGTATTTTCTCCACTCCGCTGGGAAACTGCTCTCATGTCAAGAAGCATCAGATCAGTGCATGCGCTGCATCGTCCAATCAGTGAGCGATACACAGTAAGGGGGCGGAGCAAGTATCTGAGGATTTCACCGGAGGATGGTCTGGTGGTTCCTCGGTTATCGCTCCTCCATTATCGCTCCTCCATTATCGCTCCTCGATCCTCGGTCCTCCGGCAGAAATAAGAGCCATGGGACGCTACTCAAGATGGCGCAGACAAATCAACTTCCGGTGATACCGAGGACCGAGGAGCGAGGAAATGAGAAATAAGAGAAATGAAACGCACCCCCTCTTCTTCTGCTGTTCCCTTTAGTGTTTACTTCCTGTCTGTCTTCTTCTGCTGTTCCCTTTAGTGTTGACTTCCTGTCTGTCTTCTTCTGCTGTTCCCTTTAGTGTTGACTTCCTGTCTTCTTCTGTTGATTTCTCTAACGTCTTTTAACCTCTGTCCTTCTCTTGTTTATTTTGCTCTCCATTGAAGCATTTCGATAAATATAGATGGATAAATAAATAAAGCTACTTGGAAAAAGTAGTTCAAACTATTTTGAAAGTAGTTGTAATTACGGCATCAGGATACAAAAAAAACATCTTTTTGATATTTATTTTCTTGTGTATTTATTTGCATTTCATTTGATATTGAGGTCATCCAAAAGTAACAGAAAGTAATTAGGTTAAATTACTTTGATATTTGATACTCAGATCAGGTTTTTTGAACATGAGACTAGTAATTGTCACGGAAAACATTCTTAAAGTTACCCTCCCAACCCTGCCAGTGTGTGTGTGTGCTTTCCTCCCTACTCTAACTACTGCTTCTTCTGCCCCTTACATCTAACTTTTCTACCACGGTTCCAAATGCAATGCTCATTTAGTTTGACTGAGCACAGCGTGGAGTAACTCCTTAGTGTTGTAGTTGTGATGGCTCACCTCAGTAAAGCTGAAAAAGAGTCCGATGCCTCCCACGAAGCGGAGCACCTCTCCTGCATGCTCCTGGATCTTCTCTGCACAGGGCAGACACGAGTGGTTGGGAAAACACGCCTGCAGGACGACAACACACACAGCGAAGCAATGACTCAGGCTGCAGGGAGAGGGGATATTATGATCTTATATTAGTTTAAGCCTCTGAACAGGTCCAGGATCAGACTCACAGCGTCACAGGTGCGGTTGGGCTCCAGCTGTCTGAAGCCACAGCAGTTGAGGCTCTTCTCCACGTCCCTCTGAGTGCTGCGGGAGTTATTCCAGCCCACCTCCAGCAGCTGGTCCTGCAGCACACACACACACACACACACACGCGCGCGCACGTGCACGCACACACACACACACACACACACACACACACACACACACACACACACACAACACAGCACAGCACTCTTCATCTCACACCACTTTCATAAAGCACTGAATCCAGTGTTATGCAAAAGTGGATGAATACTCAGATATTAGTGAAAGTAGTATACTGTAAGTACTTAAAAAAACAAACATAAAGTACCAAAACTAAAAGTATACTTTATGGAGAATGGCCATTTTTGTAGTTTTCATATTATTACATAAGACTACATTTGTTCATTTATACTATGTTTTTATAATATAAGCCTTAAAATGAACTAGTAAGCAATGATGTAGCATAAAGTGGAAATGCTCCAGTATTGAAAAAAAAGTCTTAAGCAGAGTACTGAAGAAAATTAAAAGCAGTGTGTGTGTGTGTGTGTGTGTGTGTGTGTGTGTGTGTGTGTGTGTGTGTGTGTGTGTGTGTGTGTGTGTGTGTGTGTAATGCAAATTCATAGATTCTGGACTTTTCAAAAATGGCTGAAACGTGTAGATAATGTGAATTCCAGATTTTTTTTAAAGAGGCTTTTTTGGGGGGGAAAAATATGTCATACATGAATTAATAACCAAAGCAGAAGCTTTTTCATATGTCCCAAACATATCTGGATCAATACAAGATATGGGCTGTGAGTAGTTTTGAAAATGGCAGAATAAGTATGTGTGATCCTCTCACAGCAGTTGAGGTGTCTAATAGCTGCTGCACACAGACCTTTACATACGGATCAATTCTCCGTCTGATCTCATGGTTTAGATGTCAGCAGCATCAGAAAGGCTTTAAACAGTGACCACAAATCACTTCCACTTCATTACTGACACCACAAATACAAGGAGAGCCACTTCTTGTGAAGGGAAGATGATCTTCACCACTGCCAACAATGTGTGCTGATGGTAGTGATGGATGATATCCAGAGGTGTTCAACATGTTTCCCTGAAGCTGAGCGCTGCAGCTCTGTTCCTCTGAGACAGGAAGCCCGTATTAAAGAGCATCCGTGTTTAATCACTTCTGGAATGAACCCCCTTCCTGTCGATCTGCCTTGTCCTCTTCTACTTCTCTTAGTCATTTCCTACATGACACACAACGCCTTTCAACTACTACAGGAAAACAGTTCAATAATCATGCTGCTCACAATCACAAATGACTTGTAGGGCCTCCGCAGGCTTCGAGAGTAACAGATTACATGCAACTGGATTATGTAACCTAGATTTTCTTTCAAAAAGGTAACTGTATTCCCTTACACTAACATAACACATATGTAATCAGATTACCTTACAATTGGAGATTAGCAGGAAAACAATGTTAGAAAAACGAATTAGTTTTCTAATTACATATCCAACAGACAGGCTTGGGGAGTAACAGGTTTAATTGGGATTATGTAATCAGGATTGTTTTTAAGTAACTGTATTCCCTCACAGTTACATAACAAAAGATGCACTAAGATTACTGTTACATTTCTAAAAATAGTTGATAACTATCAGGATTACAGTGTTAGCAAAACCTAAAAAGATCATAGTGTTTGTTGTAAAGCAGGGCTATTCAATTGGCGGCCCGCGGGCCAAATCCGGCCCCGGGGTGATATTTACTGGCCCTTTGAGTATAATGTTAAAAAGTAATCCATTTTTTTTTTTTAAGATTTTTTTTTTTTTTTTTTTTTGTGCCATAGTGCCTTTATTCCAGAGAGGGTGTTACATTGAGAGATAGAGGGGTAGACAATGCCTGAGAACCCACCTACTATACTGTAGTGACAACTCCTGTCATTGATTGCATCTCTGCGTGAATGATTAGATCATTTCACCTAAATGAAATCAAATGAAACATGTAGGCCTACTGAGTTCTGAGCCATTTAGATCTATAAAGGCCTTGGGGCTATTTTGTTTGATTGAATTAAACACAATATATGCACTCCACTATGCTGTTGTAGTATTCACTGTATCTGAAGCTCTTCAATATGATTGCTCATATTTCAAGCCATCTTTTTCCCGGCCCCTTGCTTTGGATCATTTTCATCAACCGGCCCCCATTCCAAACTAATTGAATAGCCCTGTTGTAAAGGATCAGATGTTCTCTCTGCTCTTAGAGCTGTACTGTTCTGTAGGATAATACTTCAAGTGGGAATACTTCTACTGCCTGAATCTGCTTTATGGTTTTCACTTTCTTTGCTTCATTTCTTCTGTTTTTAATTCAGCAGGTGAACCTATATGTTCATAAAATAGTGTGTGTGAGCTTAACTGTGTGTATTAAACTAAGACGGAGCATTTTCTGTCAGCTCAGGTTTTATTTCTGCTTTTGTAAACTGTAGGATGGCTCATGTGTTTCATTGTTGGTGTATAGGCTGCTGTCTGAATCTGCTGAGTGAAAGGAAGGTCTTCCTATCAATAAGATCATTTCTGATCCTAAATATCATGGTTTCTTCTTTCCTAAGGTCACATTGTTCTGTTGTCTTACATAATACAAGAGTAAAGAAGTATCAATACAATGTTTAACTTAAGTTAAACATCGTATTGATACTTCTTTACTCTTGTAATTATTACACACTAAAATTAAGTGAATTGAACATTATTAGCCACTATTAGTATTGTCACTTGAGGTCATTGCACGTCATCATTCCCACACATTCATACAGAGCAGGGCTGCCATGCAAAGTAACATCAGCCCCAGTGGCTCTGTGGGACCACCATCCATACCATACTATCCATTTGGAAGAAATGGTATGATAAATACAACAGGACACGATGAACCATCCCTAACCCTGCAAAGTGGAACACTTAGCACATAGACCAATAAGGAACCATCATAATGAAATAGTCCAATTACTTTTAAAGAATGTTATGTACTTATTTTAAACCAGGGAAATAATTGTCAAAAAGATAAGAAGGAATCATTTACACAATAAAATCAATAAAAACATTAAAAACATTTAACAGTGATGTCAGAATCACTTTTTGTTCACTATAAAGATCATTTCAGGGGAAGCGCTGAACCAATGGAAGGAATGAAGAACACATTTGAGGTGACAGGGTTGAAAATGTTTCCTCCTTCCCGTGGCTTTATGAGTTGATGAATATATATGTTCAGTATAGACACACATGAAGCTGCTACAGGGGTACACGATTTGATTTCTAGTACAGTTGTCAGTGCACCCAGCTGAATGGGATTTCTCTACGTGAAGCTGCTGTGTATCGTACCTGTTGCTCTCTGTTGATGGCCAAGCAGGCGCTGGAAACAGAGAACTGCACGATGAACACCATGAACAGGACGATCATGTACTGAGCTTCACTGTCAAGGAGCAACACACACACATGTTCAGCAGAAACAACAACCCTGCTCACACACACTGTAACTCCACGCCTGATTTAAAGCTGAGCGTCAGTTAGAGCCTGGCTGAGCACGGTGTGTAACACGAGGCCGTCTGGGTCTTATTGCACTGCATACATGAATAGATTTTCCAAATCACTGAGGGGAAGAGAGGGCACTGTCCAACATTAAAAAACATTCACAGATCCATAACATACGTACAGTGCTCATATACATATCTACATATTTTGTAAGGGAAGTGGTAAGTCATGTTTGGTATAAAAACAGGAAACTGCTGGTCTGGCTCTGTCACCTAGCAACACCTGTGGCGCTCACCAATGATATACTGTATATATTACATAACATTACAATACTGTATTCTGTTTGATCCAAAAACACAAAGATCTGAAATAGTCATGTTAGATGGATGACGTGCATTTTGTGTACATATGTGATATTTAATATTTATATATACATATGACATTATAAGAGTAGCATTTTACTGTACACAATAAAAGATCTGATTCAGAGATAATTATGTTCACAGCTATTTTCTTCAACCGAAAATGGTTCCTGTGGGTATTGTCCACAGTACTGATGTATTACATGTCTAATATATGTCATATATTGTAATGTAAAGCGCTTTGAGCCCTTGGAAAAGTGCTGAAATCAATTGTCATTATTATTATTATTATTATCTCAAACTGTTATTCCACTGGTTTAATCTTTAGAGATCCATCGTGTTAAAGCAATGTTTAATCTTCATCTGAAGAGTAACTAAAGCTTTAAAATCAAATGTAGTAGAGTTACATACATTATATCCCTATTAAATGTAGTGGAGTAGAAGTATAAAGTAGCATTACATGGAAATATTAAATTAAAGTAACTTAAAATTGTACTTAAGTACAGTACTTTAGTAAGTGTAGGTAGTTACTGTCCACCACTGGTCTTTATGCTAAGTTGGCTAACCCTGTCCTGACTGCAGCTCTGTGATGAACTCTGTCAAAGATGACATTTTGAAAAGATAACTTGTAATTCATTTGACTGATATTGCAATTGCAATGTGATTTACGATATCGGAGGAGTTAATCATTGGTGCGTAATTTTCTAAAAAGGTACCAAACAAAGACATTTTGTTTACTCCGTAGAATATGACTCTCCAGAGGGAACGCTATGAAGCACAACAATCCCTCATTCAGAATAATATTCAAACATATTTTTCCGGTACAAATATTGCGTTTCTGATAAATTGTGTAGCCCTTGTAGTACTCAGTGTTGGAATCAGAGTATTATCGTCAAAATATACTTCAAGTAAAAAAGAAAGTAGTCATTGTGCAGATTGGTCCATCTCAGAGTAATATATATGATATGTTTTATAATGATTGATCATGAAAGTGTTATCAAAGCTGGTAAAGGTGCAGCTAGTTTGAATGACTTTGTATACTGCAGGGTAGCTTGTGAATTTACTCCAGGTGGAACTAAAGTCTGATTTAACACGTGATTATATTTCATCATTAATCCACATCTGTAAAGTAACTAAAGGTATTAAATACATGTAGTGGAGGAAAAAGTACACCATTTACTTCTGAACTGTAGTGGTAAAGTACAAAGTAGGACAACATTACTCCAGTAAAGTACAATTTCCTGTTAATTGTACTTAAGAACATTACTTGATTAAATGTACTTAGTTACTTGTTTACACCACTATCGGTGAGCAGTAGTCTGAGCGGTGAGAAGGATACGAAGAAGAGCAGGACCTGGTGATGCTTCATGGCTCCCATCAGGCCGGCCCCGGCCACGAAGAAGAGGAAGACCCCCACGGCGATGATGCCCCCCACCACCTGGAAACTGGAGACCAGGCCGAACCACTTCCCCCACGCCGCGATGCCGATCATCAGCAGGCTCACCATCTGCACATGATTGGTACAGTATTTTATCCCTACATTCATTTAAAGTGAATTTCAATATTAAATAAAAATATGAAGTGCATCTTCAATCAGAAGAGGAATAAAAACATCTGCATTATGTTCATGTAACCTTTGTCCCGGGTTATTCAAAACCAGAATCAGAAATCAAAAATAATATAGTAGTATACCAACATATTACACATCAATAGCAAAACAAAAAGTAAGCTAAGTACACATACTGTATAACATTGTGGAAGACATACCTGCTATCTGCTACCGTTGCAGTGCAGTAGGGAAATGTATTCAGATTCAGTTGACCTAATACAAGTACTATATTTAAAGGGACAATCACAATAACCAGTAAAGGTTGTGCATTTAACAGAACAGCAGGGACATATGCTGACATTTTAAAAGCAAACATGCTAATTGTTTATTATTTTCTACTGTCTACTTTTAAGATTTGATTAATATTACCTCTGCACTAGTTTATGAAAAAGCCAACTAATGTATAAATCAGTCCGCAAAGTAATTATGAGTGATAGCTTTCTGATAGATTCAGTGGAGTAATAGTATATAAGTATATTATATATCATAAATGTGCATGAGCAGTATGGATATAAACCCTTTTATAAATGTACAGGTTGAAATGTTCAGTGATTATGTCCAGCATACTACACATTAGGACCCACGGTGCACATTAGGACCCACGGTGCACATTAGGACCCACGGTGCCCTGTGAGCCAGAGAGCTGTGATGGTTGGAGAAGAGACAGTAATAATAACTAGAGAGGAAGAGGAGGATTTCAAGTGTCTCTCTCCAGCAGCTGGATGAGGTGTAGAGCAGTGATTTTCAACCACTGTGCCGTATCAATACAGTGGGTTGAGTCTTACTTATCCAAAAGGTTCCATTCTTGGACCATTACTGTTTTCTCTGTACATTAATGACTTGCCTAATGTATGTCCTGAGTTGAATGTGCAAATGTATGCCGATGATGCGGTCATCTTTGTACATGGGAAAAATACTGAAATAATCTCATCTTGTCTCTCAAATGCTTTGGACAAGGTCCAACACTGGCTGAACAACATTTGCTTACAGTTAAATGCAAAAACAGTATGCATGATGTTCAGTAAACGACCAGTCAAAATGGAAGGATCCAACGTGTTTTTAAACGGAGCAGAATTAGAACTAGTCCCCCACTTCAAGTATCTTGGAGTCATACTGGACTCAAACTTGACTTTTAAGAAACATATTAAGAAAGTATCCAATACTATTAAATTCAACTTGCAAAATGTTAAACAAATTAGACCTTTCTTAACTGTCAATGCTGCAAAGTCATACCTCCACTGTATGATTCTATCCCACATTGAATACTGTTTTACAAACTGGTCGTTTGCTTGTGCCACAAACCTGAAACCCATAGAACAGCTGTACAAGAGAGCTATCAAGGTGTTTGACAGAAAGCCTTATTCATACCACCACTGCACCATCCTTGAGAAACACCATTTCTTGAGTTTTGACCATTTTAAGTCTTTTAAAAGTATGTGCTTTATTTATAAATGTTTACATGGACTGCCCCCCCCCCCCCCCCCCAACCCTTAGGGGAATTCATCCACAGAAAACACACTGGACGCTGCACTAGGTCAGAAACCAGAGGAGACTGTGAAGTCCACCGCAGACGGACCACTTTTGGACAAAATGTCCTCTCCGTTAAAGGCAGCTCATTCTGGATAGCCTCCCAACTGAGATACGGGATTGTCCCACTCTCAATAGCGTCAAAGGTCAACTCAAAGAATGGTTGAGAAACAAACAGACGTGCAATCACCGCTAAATGCACTTTAACACAGGGGTATCTCCTCTTGCACTTCATGTAGCACTTGTATCTTCTCTTGCACTTTATATGTCGTAGCTGCTACATTGTACTGCCATGTGGTAAATACTTGTGTACATGCTGCTCTTGCTCTTTTGCACTTTTTGCATATCATGTATTTTGTTTTTGCTGTGTTTGTAAAATGTAATTTTCTTAAATGTTTAATGTAAGGGACTGCGGATGGAGATTAGCTCAAAGCTAAATCTGGCACTGTTACGCTTGATACATTTGACTGTTTTAAGTGTTCATTACTGTGCATTGTCCCTGCCAAATAAACGATTAAATGAAAAAAAATCACCCCAGTGTGCCGTCAGAGATGGGCAGGTGTCCGTAGGAAATTGAGCAAACTTAATCGGTCAAAAAATATTATTTAGTTGCTGCAAATAAGTTGCTGCAAATAAAGTCCAACAGTGCCAGGGTCAAAAGCAAGCTTAAACGCTAGGGATGTAACGATAGACTCAACTCACGATGATTCACCATTTTAAGTTCACAAAACTATTTTCTCACGATTTTTATTTTTTCTTAACAGAGTGAGCTGCGGACAAATTATGACTGAAAAATATTTCTGTATTTATATAAACTGTACAAAACAACGTACATGTTCTCATGTGAACTGAAACTGTAAACTGTGCAGCTGCATTTTATCTTAAATAACAAAAATATACATAATTGGATTTTGAAAACAAATCCCACATCAAAATGACTCCATCAAAAGAAAAAATCCCTTCAAATAAATTTTTAAAAACCCTCTGTTTTCTTTTCCACATTTGACTGCACTCAGTGCATATTATATTTTGTGTATTATTATTTTGAATAGCTTTTATAATTACACTATTTTCTATTTTTGGTTACGTATTCTCCTTTCTGTGTCTCTGTATGCACCAGAAAAGCAAATTCTCAGTATGTGTAAACCTACTTGGTAAATAAAACTAATTCTGATACCTCTATATTCATATTGAGTGAGTTGAATAACACATGTACAGGAGTTTACTATTAATTGAGAATTAAACTTCCAAGAAGATGGTACAGATATATCAATTCAGAATGGTCAATGATATCAGTTAATTTACTCTCAAATCCCCAATCTCACACCAACAGAAAACCACATAGCTGTTTCCTAATGTTTAAAATGGGTGGGGTGGCCCTTTAAAATGATTGAAAATCAGACCTTTTGGACCTTCAGGTGACACACACACGCACACACATACGCACACGCACGCACACACACACACACACACACACACACACACACACACACACACACACACACACACACACACACACACACACACACACACTGTGATAAGAGCTATCAGAGGTTGCAGGCAGAGACAGGGCGTCCTCCGTAATTCCATAACATGTGATGGCAGGATTCAAAGCCTTCAGAGCTGGGCTTATTAATAATGCATAAAAGAAAGCAGGCAGTAGGCTATTTTTTGAAGATGTATTTTCTCATGCACTGATCCCACAGTGAATCTCTGATTAAGTCTGCCCTCATCACTGGGATGATGGTGAATAATGGCAGCAGGCTGATGATCCATATCTCAGCCTTTTCATATACTCACAACATAGAGGATGTTGAGCGCACACAGGCAGTGTTTGGAACAGGTGAATCCCGAGCAGCCCATCTTGATCAAAAAATAAATAAATAAACAAATATAATTAATCCTCAAAGGGTTTCAAAAGGTATTCCGGCTCCAGGGGAAATGCAGAACAAAGGCCCGCAGGAATAAACGGTCGCTCGGCAGCAGGTCCAACCTGGAAAGAACGGGGCTTCATGCGTCAATCACAAACAACACACCCGGTGCAGACCGGAAGTTATGTAACACGCCTTCAAAATAAAAGCAAGTCATTTGTCGTTGAATTGCAATTCCTATGTTACCTTGAATTTAGGTAAGCTAACAATGCAGACAGTGCTGTGACTTATGCTGCCTTTACACGGGAACGTTTGCGTTTATGCACCGTATGCGTTTTCAAAAAAGTCTTCCGTTCACACGCATTCGATTCATTTAACGTGTCTGTTCACACGAGACCGCTCGACCCGCTGGAAACGCTGTAAGTGGTGCTGCTGCCGCCACAAAATACACCAAAAGCAGCGAAGAAGACCCCGGAGCTAGTGATGGGAATTCCGGCTCTTCTTGGTGAGCCGGATCATTTGGCTCGGCTCACCAAGAAGAGCCGGCTCTTTCGGCTCCCAAACGGCTCTTCAGTTTACCACATATTATACCTTTTATAATTCAATCAAATGTAGCCCTGTTTTGACTAATGATTTATATGTGTACACATCTATCACTTAAATTATTCAATACATCCTTTGTACTGAAGTATTCAAAAGTAAAAATGACATGTTTAATATCAATTATTTGCTGTGGCCAATTGTTTTCATTGCATTTACAGACCCTTGTATCTCTCTGATACCACCCAATGAATGCACAGACTTGCTTGTACCACGCTACACAAAGCAGATAGCAACACCTATAAAAACTTAAGCATAGACATTTAAAAAAAGGGGCTACTGTATCGACATTTTAAAATGATATTTAAAGGTCCCATGTCATGCTTTTCCGGTTATTACCCGTCCCCTTGTGTGTTATGAAGGTTTTTATGCATGTAAACGGTGTGCAGAGTCAAAACCCTCAAAGTACACCCTGTAGCGAGTAAAACTCTAACACAGAAAATACCTCCCCAAAACGCCTCGTTGGAGATACGTCATTGTCAATTTGATTCTTCCGGAACGGGGTGACGTAACCCCGTACCTGGAACGAAATGGACCAATCTGTGGAGCCGTTACGTTACGTCCGCGGAGCCGTTACGTTAAGCCCCCGCTGATTGGTCCAAATTGACCAATCCACGGACTTCCTCACACACAGGCAGCTCTGCTGATTTCTCCTCCCTGGCTGCAGGCTGATAACAGACAGTTGGGATCGCGGCCAAATTCTCTCTGCAGACCCATTCTCACAGCGTTTATCAACCTTTTTCTTACTCAATATCAAGCCACACTTATTGTTTTTACTTCGGCTGTGACTTTGTGTGTGCTCAGGATGAGTTTGGCTGTGTTTCGCTGTGTATGCTAAACAAGGAAACAACACCTCCACGGAGCTCAGCGCGATTCACAACGTCCCGACCAATCAGAGCACACTTTGCTCACAGGGAGGGTGGGGGCTGGAGCTATTGGAGCTACAACGAGCCGTTAAAGGCAGAGAGTGAAATTCAGTGAATACACGTAGTTTACAGAGATGCTGTATGAGAAACCAATGTGAGTTTGGAAAAATGCACAATATAAATCTATTCTAGTAGACCTCAACAATGGAATTATGATCAGTAGAAATGGCCATGACATGGGACCTTTAAAGAAAAGGACCTGACAAAACAGCAGGGCTCTATTTCAGTATTAACTATAGAAAAAAAGACAGCAACAGCTGACATCAAATCTTTGCTGAGCCCAAGGATAATCATAAATAAATAACATAGTGAAAATAAATATATTGCAATGCTCAGTACAGCAGCATCCAACCGTCTCTAATCATAAAAAAACATAATACAAATAAATGTATTGCAATGCTCAAAACAGCAGCATCCAACAGTCTCTAATCCTTGGATATTACATGTCACTGCATGCATGCACGGAGCAGCTATAGCGCGGAGATCATCATATCATTCTGTCTTGTATTACTTAACAAAAAACAAACCAAAAAAAACGTCTCGTTCGCAGGCGCGAGCCGGCTCCCGTCGTTCACTTAAAAGAGCCGGCTCTTTGAGCCGGCTCGTTCGTGACCAACACATCACTACCCGGAGCATGGTTGCCATGGTTGCCCTTCTGTTTATGCCCCGCGGTGGATTTAGCAACATGTAGTAGTTCATGTAATTCTCCATGTCCACTTGTTGCTGATGGTTGTGGTAGAGGAGCTGTAGATTTTGCACTAACATCTGTAGCATGGTCGAGCTGTAGATGTTGTACTAACATCTGTAGCATGGTCAGTAGCAGTAGCACTAGCAGTAGCTACTGACAGTAGCTACTGCTAGTGCTACTGCAGTGAGCAGCAGAGGCGGGGAGAGGTGGGGCTATGGCTTCATCTATCGGGAAATGATCGTATAGAGGCAATTACACGGAGCCGTTTGACCCCCCAGAGCGTTTCGTTTGCAAATCTATCCACCTTGGGACCCGTTATCATTTGCGGGGTCCGTTTCTATCGTTTTGTTACGGCCTCGTGTAAATGAAAGGGCTATACGCAAGAGAAACTATGCAAATACAACCCGTTTCGTTCCCGTGTAAATGCAACACTGAGCATACTTTGTCAATACCCTGGGCTTAAATCATTCAGCAGCCTGGCCGTACACATTAATACTCGATAACTCTAGATTTGAGTACTTTGTTGACAAAGATATGCCCAAATGAATTCATGAATGAATCAGTTTTGGTCTACAATAATTGTAATAATGGTGGCAAAGACGAGGTTTTCAAACAGCTGACCCTCAGTGTGGGGAAATAAAAAGCGGCTTATGCTTTATTTTGCCAGTTGTAAGATCATTTTTGGGTCCTTTTCCTGATAAGAACCGTTTCAGCTAGTGCTGATTGTTTAAATTCACACAGAGCTTGTCTGATTACAGTAAATCTCTTTATAAAAAACAAGAGGGTATGTTGTTGTGACAAGAAACCTTGATGTTGTAACCGCAGGTGAAGGACGAAGTTACAGCCTTCAGAACAGATGTTGTCGCCTGAAACCATCAGCTTATGTTTCATTTCCTGCTGAGAATGAGCCATGATGGCTGCAGGCCTACAGATACATGAATCCTCTCACCCTAGCATCATGCTATCACCTCAGCTAGGGTCAGCTGAAAATCTCATAATAATATTGTAAAGTATTGATAACAATTATTTACAACAGAGAGTTTATGACACATCATCACCTCAGTAGCGTCAAATATGATTCACCTCAGCTGAAATGCAGTTCTTTATCTTAAGTGAATCATACTGCGATACATCTGTGTGCGTGCGTGCGTGTGTGTGTGTGTGTGTGTGTGTGTGTGTGTGTGTGTGTGTGTGTGTATATATATCTGAGTTTATCTCTGCAACCCTTGGACTTACTTTCCTTAAGCCTGCCGTGTGTTACTGAGGACCAACCCAGTCTCACGGCATTTCGTGTTATAGTCACGACATTGAATCTATTGATTCGTGTTCACCAACACGATTTTCCCCTTTTTTTTGTGTCACACAGAACGATTTTAAAAGCAATGTATTTCTATTGGTAGTATGTTTCGTGCCTGCAACACGTCTTTTTGTCCGGTCGGGTCTTGGAAGACCGGAAGCTGTGGGGTTCATAAAAACATGTTCCTACTCAATATCAAGCCACGATTATTGTTTTTATTTTAAATCGTATAATGCCAGTCTCTACTGGGAACGTTTTCGTTTTTCCCACAATTAGAAGTTGCCAGTATTAAACACTGGCACACTGTTATCAAATTTAAAACATATAATTAATAAATGGGTGAAAATTGCTTGTGTCCATAATGGGCAGCATTAATATATACCCACATGCCAGCTCATTGTTACTTTGTAATTCTACTCCACTACAATTCAGAGGTTAACCTGGTATTTTTACTCCACTACATTTATTTTAGTTACTTTGCAGATTCTGATTAATGATGTGAAATATAAACAACCCTTAAATCAGACTTTAGTTACACCTGAGTCAAATTCAGGAAAGGTGATTGTCAAGTGCCAACAATCAGGAGAGATATTTGATAGCTGCTGCTTGAGAAGACTAAACATTTATCTGCAGATCCCTATAAAGTATATTCATTACTCGTTATTCTCTACTAATAGTTCATTAAAGACTGTATATAATGGCTATTTTTCACATCCCTTTCAAGATTTCAAGATTTTCAAAGGTTTATTGACATATCATATACACAACTATGTTGAAGTTATGCAATGAATGAAAGACTTGGGTCGCAGGTTCCTCAACAGCATTACAAGACATCTATCGTATCACCCCATCTAGTCACTCAGAATAAATCAGGACATTCTGATGTAGAGTTTCAAAATAAAAGACCTTTGAAGTCTCATATATGAGCTATCATCCCTTTTATTTTTAAACTCTAGAGAGTTTTTGTTTTATTCTTATCTAAAAACAGAGGGATGATAGCTCATACAATAGAGATTTCAAATGTCTTTTATTTTGAAACTCTACATCAGAATGTCCTGATTTTTTTCTGAGTGACTAGATGGGATGTCCTGCTATCACCCTGGAGTGAAATGAGTCTTTGATACTGGAGAGTTTTTGTTTTATTCTTATCTAAAAACAGAGGCATGATAGCTCATATATGAGACTTCATAGGTCTTTTATTTTGAAACTCTACATCAGATTGTCCTTATTTTCTCTGAGTGACTAGATGGGGTGTCCTGCTATCACCCTGGAGTGAAATAAGTCTTTGATACTGGAGAGTTTTTGTTTTATTCTTATCTAAAAACAGAGGGATGATAGCTCATACAATAGAGACTTCAAATGTCTTTTATTTTGAAACTCTACATCAGAATGTCCTGATTTTTTTCGGAGTGACTAGTTGGGATGTCCTGCTATCACCCTGGAGTGAAATGAGTCTTTGATACTGGAGAGTCTTTGTTTTATTCTTATCTAAAAACAGAGGGATGATAGCTCATATATGAGACTTCAAAGGTCTTTTATTTTGAAACTCCTTACATTTTACATTCACTCATTTATAATGTGGTACTTATACGTAGTTTGTTTTAAATAATTATTGATCA